AGAAGACAAATGATACTTTGTCAAAACGTCGTGATATCAATCCCAGTAAGGATAATAACTCAGAACACGGATCAAAACACGTATTCCTATCCGTGAGAACCTTAGATTCAACATTTCAAACCTTTACGGGGAGAAGAGGTCAATCTAGAACAGGGGTCTCCAAACTTTGACGCCTTCGGGCCATAATGATTTTTTCAGTTTGTTCCAAGGGCCAATTTCTGCCCTTAACTATATTTCTAGACTAGGATAGTCGCAAAGTGCGTGACCTAAGCAAACTTACGTTTTTTTTGCATTTCAATTATTATTGTGTATTGTGACACTTAACGACATCTAGTGGCAAGTAGTGGTACTATGTACTATCTTTTTCAGCTACCCGCTAGCTGGCATTAGGAGTAATTAAATATTTGGAATTACCGCGTTGGTTCGAGAAAGTTCTGGTTCTAGCTAGTGTATTCCGATCACCTCGAGATGGCAGTAATNTTAGATACTTAAGTTAAGTTTTCTTTGTCATCATTTCTGTCGTTAAGTTTTACCTTGCAAGTAAATAAAACCGAGTAATTATCATTCTGTGTTTTCTTCTTCAACTTATCACAGCAATAGTAACAACAATCAGGTAATCATTGGCTGTCGCGGGCCAGATTGATGACTGTAAATCATTGGCTGTCGCGGGCCGGATTGATGACACTGGCGGGCCGGATTTGGCCCGCGGGCCGTAGTTTGGAGATCCCTAATCTAGAAGAAGATCAGGTAAAAATCAACAACAATATCTATAGTAGGCAGCAGATCGTGTAAGGACTGTCTAGTACCGAACACGTAACAAACATCACTTTACCTAGGTAATAGGGAGCGGATCAAGTAAGGTCGGTCGACTTCCGAAAACTTAACAAAAATCACCAGAAGAAGACAAATGAGACTGTCGAAACCTCGTGAGATCAATCCCAGTGAGGATAATAACACAGAACACGGAACAAAACCCGTAAATCAGTTCAGCACACATTTCTTTCTCTGCATTCATATTGATGCAACCTTCGCATAAGTGATTATGGTCCACACAGTCAAGGGCTTTTGAAATATTTCATAATATATTATCAAATTGCTCATTTTGTGTAAATGTATTGAACAAGTTGGGAATTAATTTGAATGTATATTCCTCAAGTAAAGTTGAACAAATACATAGAAACACAAAAATGGGGAAGAGGTTAGTTTTTGTAACGATGTCTTTTATTACTGATCGCTCGTTTTCGCAATAACAGCTCCGGTAAAACGACTCAATAACAACGACCCATCGAATCTCTGAACGTAATCGTTTCACACTTCTCTGAAAGCACACGTAATAAAAATCAAAAATGCAGTTAAGTCTTCTCGATTTATAAACAACCGTGACGTAAATTACTCCCTTATTCTTTCATCCCGTCCAATTAAGTTCTAAATCTGACGCGGAGGTTGATCTCTTTCCATTGAAATTTACTGCTATCCTGGCACATTATGCAAACTAGATGTACGGGGTCCTGTTCCTGAGATCGTCCTTAACGCATTTTACTGCGAGACATGGCTGCGAAATTGTTCAGACAAGGAGTGAAATTGAATCAGAATGAACCACGCAGGTAGTTTGGCAGGATATTTATTTTACAAGAGTGTACAAGTAATTCAGACATTCGCTTTGAGAAGGAACAACGATCTGTTAAAAAAAATTAAGATTGGTTAGTTGGAATTGAGATAAGGAAATATTCATATAAAAATCCTCTAGTTTACAATTCACTTCAAATGTGATTATATTTTCACTCCAAACTTGAATAGAACTTTCGGAAAAATTAACAAGAGATATAAAAACATACAATCCCCAATACGCTTTGAGGATTGTATGTTGGTCAAACTAAATGAGCTACTGAAGCTCGTTTCAAAGAATACAACTTGCATTCACTAAATATAGTTTAAAAAAACTAAAATTTTTATTTTGATTTTCTTTTGAACAACCCATCAAGGAGGTTACATATAGCGGCATCTGTTCGCGAATAGTTCAAGCAATAATGCCGATAATTCTGTCAATATACAGATCCCGAGCTTGAGAGTTACAAACAAACATATATACAAACAAACATACATACATACACATATACAGGTGAAGCTAATATAGAGCGTGTAATAAAAAAACGATTATATACAACTAAACATCTGAATGTTTTCGAAAGCATACAACTCGCATAGTGTTCATGAAAACCATGATTTAAGGAGAGATTTTTGTGCTTCAGTATCGGTAGAAAAAATTAATTGTTGAAGATTAATCTGAAAGTGACGTCTATGACTGATTCAGGGATATTTGGTATTCTATATTCCTTTGTAAGCTTTCTACGGAAAAAGTGAAATCTAAAAAAAGGGCCATAAGAAAATTACAAACATGTGTAAATAGCTTATCAGGTTATTAGAATGACCACTGTGGAAAGTTACATAATTGCCTTAAATCTCTTGAAATATATTCTTGTTCAAGAGTTTATTTTTTCTCAAATGTAAATCAGATATTCTCTATTTTCATTGAAATAGTTTGTCATCACTCATATTGGAATTTCCCTGTATAACTATTTATTTATTCGTCTGGCATCTATTTGATCTACTGGACTGCCGTAAGAATATTTTGACGTATCCATGAATTTATGAGGTGCTGCCTGTCTGATTTATGAAGTTCCCGTGCCAGATTTGTGTTTAGACAAAAACGTCTTCTCAAGAAGTAAACTGAGGACAGATAGAATAATTTGAACTTTGAGAAACTTCTGAATATGTTACGATCATTCGAAAGAGGCCTTGACTTATTTAGTGCCAATATTAAAAAAAAAAATTGAAATAGTAATTCTCACATCCTATACAGTGGGATTTGTCAAAAGACCGCCTATTTCCTTGGCTGTAATTCAAACTGAATATCATGTTATGGTTCAAGAAAGAAGTTATTTTTATTATTTTGTGACGTGACGTGACGAAGAGCACTACATTCGTATAGTTATTATGTTGGTTGTTTTCTCCAACCATTGGTTTTTTCATATTTATTTCTTCTCTATTCTAAATTGAAAGGGGGTATACTTTTAGGAGAGATTAATTTTTGGGGAAGAAATGTTTTGGCTTCTCCATCTTCATACAAAAAAATATGGGAATTTTCAAAATAAACTGTTTAAACTGTTTTCATATTCCTTAATGTGAGCGATTTCATCACTTTATCGCTTCTTCCAGCATATTCAGCGTTGCTTGAATATTCTCTGTATCATTGATTTTCATCAAGTATCGACCATTTCCATCACACATGTTAAATATTCAGTGATAGTTTTATTCTTAGCCTTGAACTCATCAGTTGATTCGTAAAATATTTTCTATATTCATATTTCAGGTATAATAAATTTAGAAGAGCTGAAAGGCCATAGGCACGTTTATTTTAAATATGTAAATTTTCGGAATAGATAACATTACAGTTACTGATAATTCCTCCGTTAATCTGTGAAAATGTCATGGCACAAAGACTCGCCAAATATTCTAAGTATTTTAACAATAAATAAATATGCTGCATATCAACTTGACCCCAATGATTATATTATACCAAGCGCTTATTCGAAAAAGTTTTACCGCGAATATGAAACACAACAATGAAAAGCGACAATTTTTCAAAATTCGATCCGTACAGTTATTTTCTTTGTAATGTAAATTGCGGAGATGTATGTCTTGTAGAAAATTAAACATCATTTATCGAATTTATTCAGTTCCAGACATGTGCACACAGGGCGATTTTTTTATGTTTGTGAGAGGCATAAAAGTTGCAAGTGTTTTGCATGTTCAGCGATTTTCTGCTATTGAAAAAATTTAATCAAAGAATTTGTATAAAATTTTGTGTAAACAATGGAATTAAGTGCTCACAAACACGAAAAGTTGACAGTGGCATACGCTGATTGTACTCTTTAGAAAAATGTTAACAAGTGATATAAGCTTGTGAATATCGACGATTGCCCTGTATGCCTCAGAACATCAACAACCGATGAAAATGTGGAAGGAGTGAACAAAATTGCTATCGAATTTGACCAAATTTTGACCAAAAAAACCATCGATCGCTCAGGAATTGTTGAATGACATCGGTAATCGAGATTTGCTTAAAAGGATCACAACTGGCAACGCATCTTGGGTATATAGTTGACATCGAAAACCAAGTCCAATCGCCCCAATAAAAGAACCTAGAAGACCCAAGACCAAAAAAGCAAGGTTTGCTAATTGTTTCCTTCGATTACTGTGGCGTAGTGCATTAGCAGTTTGGGGACGGTAGCCTGGTTGGTTGACGTGAGTGGTTTGCTTTCCTCACTCAATTCATCGATGTGTGAACCGGTGGTTCAAACAGCAAGGTCGGTAAGACCTCGTTAGTCCTTAGTTTCGACTTTTGAGAGTCGTCGTTCATAGGGGGCGACAGCTGGTTAACGGAAAAACAGATTTTTAACAGATAACAGTTTGCCACATGGTCATACGTTCTATAAGAAGTATTATGCACCGCTTGCGAGAAACAATACTTGTTCGTGATTTTTTGGTCAAAAACAACATCGTTTTCATGCCTCACCCACTGTATTTACCAGAATTGGTCCCCTGCGACTTTTTCATGTTCCCAAGATTGAAGAGATCCATAAAGGCCGGCGTTTTGTGAAGATTAAGAAGATGAAACCGAAACGCTGAGAGAGGCCGAGGACATACCAAAAAGTGCATATCAAAACGCTGGCACAAGTGACCGTGGAAAACTACTTTGAAGAGAATGAAATGGAAATTGATTACTTTTTGAACAGACCCCGTATTCTAAAATTGAAATATTCCGAATGAAAACGGCAAAGAATAATATCGTCGCTCTTCAACACTACCGACAACAGAAGTTATGAACAGAAAATGATTGAACGGCACGGATGACGATGGCACATTGATTGATACAGTGACCTCCCACTTGTTCGAATATTAACAACGTGAACTTGAATCAGAAATTCCGGAATGGTCGGATTCCGAAAATCCCGTCTAATCAGAAGGAAGCGCGCGGCGCATGAGTCTCTCCTGCGAAATTCGCGGGATATATAATATAAAAAATGATGCCAGTGTCGACAGTGGATGCCGAAGTGAGATCCCAGAAGGCACATTTCCTATTTCAAAGAATCGAATCATTGTTACTGTGATGTCTGGGGAAGTGACGAATGAAGTTTCGGTACTAAACAGTTCCAATTCGACGAAAATTGACCAATTTTATTTCTACGAGGTGAGTCCGCAAAGTATATTTTATTGCTATGACATATTTTCATCTACGGAAGAAATTTATTTTGTTTTTTCAGTTATTTAAAAATTCAATGACAATCATTGTTGGGAATGTGAATGTCTATATGAATAATTTTACTCTGATATGCATTTGGTTGAAAGACGGCTTCGTTAAAGAGTGTTTCCTCCACCGGCAGTGATAATAGCTTACAAACGACGAGGCAAGCTTTGGATAATATTTTGGATTACATTCTGCGGAAGATTTTCCCATTTCTGTACCAGTATATCGCATAGCTCTCTAGAATTTCTGGGAGCCAGCACATGTCTCCGTAAACATTTCTTAAGCTCATCCAAAGCATGTTTGATGGGATTTAAATCCGAACTGTGCGCAGGCCAAACAAATCGCGTGAGTTTAACCTCGTCAAAATACTGAGTAACGATCCGGGCAGTGTGAAGCCGTGCATTATCATGCATACATGTTGCGTCGTCTCCAAGAAAAGGCATGTATGGTAAAACATGGCCTTGTAGAACCTCCATCAGGTATTCATGCGCATTCAATGTCCCAGTCTCCCGAACTCTAAAAACCTGATTCAATCCCCATCGGGGCAGGCACAAAGTATGTGCTCTGCCAGAAGTCCATAAATCTTCTTACCATCCAGGTGTTCAAAGTTTGTTTGGCAAAGCCTTAAGCGATGCCAATGTCAGGGTCTGATCCAATTCCTTTACAAGAAAGTCAGCAGCCTCATTAAGTCTTCCTATCGAGGAGAGTCGTTTTTGGCAATTTGCAACCAATTTAGACCTTGCTCGGTAGGAACCAAGAGCTTCCAACGCCGCTTGACTGTCCGAGAATATTGTTATTGACATGTGTATGAGGTTGGATTCTTTTTTAATCTCTCCGCACAAAATTCAATAGCGTAAATTTCCGTTTGAAATACAGCCGCATAGGTTTCTAGGCAGGTTTATATCTCTGTCCTGGGTCTGCGACTGAAAACACCTGTACCAGAACCAGAAGGTGTTTTTGATCCGTCTGTGAACAAGGTGAGGCAGGTCGTTGACAGTTGGAGGCATAAAGTCAGGGGTCATTTTCAGAATTCTGCGACTTCCAGTATCAACCAACAGTCAGTTGCACTCTGTAATTGGTTAGCAAAACGCGCGTCGAGAGATATTTCTGGTATATCTGACATTTTTTTAGATAACGAAGTAGTTCATGTACCAAATTCTGAAATTCAGATACTCCATCCTTCGGAGGTCATTTATAAGGGCATTATGAATATGAAGAGATTTTTTTCGAGAATTATGCTCTAATATTTCTGTTCCGAAATAGGACGCGGTCCGCGTATCCCCAAATTAATGTCGTGTGAATAACGACTTTATGACTGCTAGGAGGGCATTTTTCGCTCTTTCCTCGGCGAAGTTATTCCGATGGTGTCTATTAACGCCGTGATTTTTCAGGTCAACCGTTTCGAAATGTCTTTTAGTGTGAGATGCGATTACGGGAGATAAGAATGATTTTCCTGGAGAAGGCCTTTCACTTCCAGATGTTGTGTATCGAGTTTCTCGAAATTGATTCAGAGTTTCAAAGAAATTGGTTTTGCTCCTTACCTGTACGTTGTTTCGAGAGCAGTCAAGATTATTTCAGTTTACAAATCTTTCGATAAATTCGCACTAGTAAAAATCTATTGCAATTTTTTTTTTACCATGTAACAAATTGGATTAGATNACGTTCAAATAATTCGCACGTGGGTTGCAATTTCTCCAGGCGGTCTCAGATATGGAACGGCCGGTTATGGAATATTGAAGAAATAATCGTTTGGGAGCCCAATTGAAACCCAATAATCGGATGGTCACGGAATGGTCACGGTAAAACCTAGGGTCATGGATACCAGGACCAGGACGAAGACTAAGACTAAGAATAGAACTAAAACCCTAAAAAAATATTCCCCGTTATAATTATCTTTAGCCTTACCGGCTTTCTAATTTTCCCTTACCTCTTTGGTTGGTTGAGGGTAGTATCGATTGATGACGTTGTTATCGGCTTACGTAAATCCTTCGTAACGAAGAGCAAACTATTCGCTGAGGTCACAATAAAGTGACGAAACGATAGGCAATTAGTTGCTTGAAAGCAGAAGTGCAGTAATCCACAATTTTGTGAGAATTTTCAATTTGAAACACGACAGAAAAATTCCTACACATCAGCACTGCTACTTCGCAAAATCCGACCTGTTTTAATTTTATCTCTTGTAGAAAAAAGAAAGCTTTTTTTTTCTTCTCCATACCGAGAACTGATAAATAAATTGTACTGCGGCAACCCGTGATTCTTTATGAATATGGATCTGTCCACCAAGAATATGCAACCCATTTAACATCCGAGCTAAATGAACTGTGGCTACGATTCCAATGAATACCTAAAATAAAGTAAAACTGAAACCGAATAAAAAAATAATTAAATGTATTTTGAACCGTTACAGTAATTTATGGAGAAGTTGAAGGGCATACACAACACCCACAAAAAGTTAATGTTTGGGCTGATATTCTTGGAAATGCCATTAGTGGTCCATTATTTCTGGAAGAAAACTTGACTGGTAATCTGTACCTTGAAAAGCTTGAAGGAACCATCGATCCTCTTATAACTCAAGCTAGAAACTCAAGTGGACGCGGGAGTTAATGAACTTTTTCAGGAGGATCTGTTACATTTCCAGAAGGATGGTGCTCCACCTCATTGTTTTCTTTCCGTCCGACAGTGGTTAAACGAGAGATTTCCGGATAGGGGAGCAGCTGAATGGCCTTCGAGATCACCGGATTCAACACCCTTAGATTTATTTCTTTGGGGGCTTCTTGAATCCGTTGTTTATAAAACACAACCTTCTGATATTGAAGAACTTAAAAACGAATTACAGCAGCATGACAGTCATTTCCTAGTGAAGTTTTCCGTAATGTTAGAGGGGAGTTTGACAACAGACTTTATTACCGTTTAGAGCAAAATGGACGACATTTCGAACAATTAATAAGATAAGCGTAAGTAGATTTTATGTTCGAACTGTCTTTTTAGCGGATTGAATTTTATTTGTAAAAGGACAATAACCAATAAATTAAAAATCTCACGGGTCATTCTAGGGTTGGAACGGTGCCATACTCTTCTAACAATAATGAACCAGGTTTGTGTTTAAATAAACCCTACAAAATACAAATAAAACAGAACACAGGGTCAGATGTTACAAATGCAATACGCATATATACAGACGGCTCAAAAACCAAGGAAGGCTCAGGATGTGGAGTGTTCTCCACATCACTAAGCCTAAGGATTAAGTGGGAAATGGAAAAAAATACCAGCGTGGTTCAAACAGAACTGGCTAGTATCTCAATCGCCACAAAAGAAATAATCAGGAAAGGAATTTCTGGCAAAAACATAACAATCTGCACTGACAGCAGACAAGCCCTATTAGCCTTGAACAGACAACGTATAACCTCAGGGCTAGTACTAGAGTGCCACCAAGATTTAGCCAAAGCCTCGGTAGATAAATACATTATCCTGAGGTGGATTAAAGGGTACGACAGGAGTAAAGGTAATCGCATTGCCGAATTTTTAGCCAAGGAAGCGCGGCTAGACTGATAATTTTAGGACCCAGTGGCACCTACGGCCTGATGACTTCGACAATGGCGGAACTAGCCAAACGTCACACCCATGCTCGATCCCTAAAGAGATGGGATGAAATCAAAGGATGCAATCTTGCCGAAGAAATATTTGGCGATGGCCAGGAAAAATCTACGCTTAACAGTAGGATTTCTCATTTGCCACTGTCAACTTAGGAAACACCTCTACAATATGGGGCTAGTGGAGCTAGTGGGGCTAGTGCAGAAATTGTCAGACATGTCCTCTGCGAATGTCCGGAGTTATCGTCAATATGAAAAGTGTGTGTTCGGCGAGTCTTACCCTACANCAAAGAAAAATATAAACCACAGTGATGGTTTTATCAATGCATCTGAATGGATAAAAGAAAGTAATTGAAATTATTACAAAACAAAGAGTCTTTGATACCTCACGCGAATATATGAGATCTGTTCAAAAAATAAGGAGAATTTCCATTTTTCTAATAAAACATTCATTTATTCATCATCTTCTATTTTGTCCTCTTCAAAGTAGTCCCCTCAGATATAATAAATACATTTGTGCACACTTTTTGGTATGTCCTTGAGCTCTCTCAGTGATTCAGTTTTCATCTACTCAATCGCCGCAAAACGCCGTCCTTTCATAAGCCTCTTCAATCTTTGGAACAGTAAAAAGTCGCAGGGAGCAGATCTGGAGAATACGGTGGTTGAGAAATGATTACGATGTAGTGTGCTTTTATAGACTAGGCTCTCCTGGGCGATTAGACTTTGGATTCGATAGCAACCATTTACTCATGATTCGTCACCATTTATGACCCTTTCCAGCAAATCAGGATCGCCGTTGACGTCATTCAACAACTCCTGAGCGATGATCATGCGACGGTTTTTGGTCAAAATTAAGCTTTTTTTGAAATTAACTTCGCTGCCACACGCTTCATGGCTAAAATTTCCGCATGGTCTAAGCCAACCGATATGCCGACATCCTCAGCAACTTAACAATTTTCTTCACTTCCTCAACATTTTAATCGATTGTTGGGGCGTCCAGGGCGAGGGTCGCCATTCACATCTTCTCGACCTTCTGTAAAAAGCTTGTACCACTTTTAGTGAACATTTTTCTTACTCAGAACTGAGAGTACAATCATCGTATGCCACTGTCAACATTTCAAGTGTTTATTCCATTTTTAGACGAAATTTGATGCACATTCTCTGATCCACTTTTTTCGACAACAGAAAATCGCCGAACACGCAAAACATTTCTAACTTTTATGCCTCTCACCAACAAACTTAATATGCTAAACAGCTGAAATTTCGAACATACGTTAGAGACGAATGTACAACGCAAAAAAATTATAAAAATCGCTAATCGAATATAAGTCGACTGCGAAATTTGAACACACC